GCCTTACTGCCGGTCACGCCCGCCTTACTTTACTAGACTACTAGGACTCACTATTATGTACGAATCTACTCGTACTGTAATCGGGCACAGGGCTATGGCTAGTCGGCTACGGCCAGGGCCAACTAACTATGGCAAAGACGATAACAGCAATCGGCTATCGGCTATGGCGGCTAGCCGTTAGGGGACGGCGCTACGGAACTAGTCAGCATGGGTGGCTAGGTCCGCTGCAGAGCCAGGGCTGGGGCCGGCTGGGGTGCTGATAGGGCTTATTATATTATTATATTATATTATAAGTAAGGTGTGGGCTTAGAGGGGCAGGGCCCGGCATATGGCGCAGGTGAAGAACCTAAATAAGAATGTGTCCTCAAAATCAATTTCAATAGCTGAGCTAGCAGCTAGCAGCAAGCAGTCGCATCGATTTGAGATCCACGAAATTCATCGCCAGAGCCGGCAGAGCTGCTATAATTTCTCCTGAGCAACTGTGCTACCGGGTTACTACCGTAGGCTGTAGGCGCTAGTCACTCGTCACTTCAGTAGACTCAGTAGACTAGTAGACCCTCGAGACTTTAAACTTTAGACTCTAGACTCTAGACACACACCAGATCCACGCCGAGCTGATCAAGCCCCACATCAAGGGCGATGAGGTGCCTAAGCAGGTGCAGCTGGCCATGGTGACACGTGTGCAAAAAGAATCCGGACCACATGAGCCGCTCTTTTGGAAATGCATATCCCCTTTGCCCTTCTCGGAAAAGTACTTCGAGCAGCAGTGTGCCAGTGAGACAAAGGACAGGTCTGGGTCTGGGTTTTTATGGGTATCGGGTATTGAGACTTGAGGGTTGAACTTTTGAGGGTTTGTCGAGTTCAGAGTTTAGGGCCCAGGGCTTAGGCTTAGGCTTAGGGAAGTTTCGGATTTCCGAGTTAACCGCAAAGTTGGTGCGGGTCTTTGAGGGTTTAGGCCGGAAGGATAAAACCCTGAAGTAGGATGAAAAAGTGTCATGGCACAATGACAGAGGACCAGAACCAGAAGACCAGTGCGGGTGCGCCACCACAGGCCGACGGCAGCAATGACACCGTGCTGCAGGAGGACAGGTCACTCGTGATCAATGAAAATAAGGAATTGTAAGACCCCGCGACTCTAAGACGATCTAAGATTTTGAATCTAGAATCATCTCGAAATCTAGAATCTAGAATCTAGAATCGAAACGAACAAGACCAGGACAGCCAGGGCATCTTTGACGTGGTTCACCCCATGCTGAAGGATTGCAACCACACCTCCATGTCTGACAAATTGAAGATCTTTGAGAAGGCTTTCTTGGGGAAGATTCTGCCACTCGTCCGGGAGGGCAAGGAGGGACAGGAGAAGCTTGCGCTGGCCTCCCAATGCGGGGCCCGGTGCCTGGAGGTCCTCAGCAAGTCTGCAGCTGGCTTCCCCGTTGCTGATGGGTATGCGAGCGCACAGACTTCCGTGCGTCAGGCCCTGACTTCTGTGATTGGCCTGGTTGCGATCAGCTCCAATGGCTCTTTCGTTATGGCAGGCAGCACTGGTTCTGGTGGCTCGACTTCCACGTCCTCCGGCACACAGATCCTCTCAAGCAATGCAGTGAAGAGTCTGTCCGATGAGAAGAGCACCACTTCTGTGCTGTACTCGCCTCTGGTTTGCAGCTAGCTGAAGACTCGGGCTCATTCGGGGTCTTCGGTTTAAGGCGTTGGCTTTCTTTGAAAGGGTTTTTGGCTGCCAAAATGGGCCTGGTGCTACTTTACTAAGGCGTCACACGTTTTGCCCGCCCCCTAAACTTTGCGACCAAATGTGTCGCCCGCTTTGCGCTTTCCACAATTGTACTTGACTCATGTGTCGCCCCGCTGTGCCCTTTCCACAAACTACTTGACTAAATGTGTCGCCCGCTTTGCACTTTCCACAAACTACTTAGCTACTTGACTAGATGTGTCGCCCGGCTTGCCTGCTACAAAACCTTCTGTACTAATTGCTAAAAGCAAAAACACAAGTGCTAGCAGCCCCGGTGTCGCTTGATGCACGAACCTCTCTGCGAAGCGGTTTCTATAACCCCTTGGCCCCTTGTAGCTTTAGCATAGGCGGCATAGGCATAGGCATAGGGCTCAGGTCTCGAGGTTTGTATACAGTATACGGATTGCAGCTGTCAGGGTTATGGCATAGGGCATAGGGTGGCATAGGGCTCGACTCGAAACCAAGCAAGCATGACCCAGGATTGGGCAAGCTTTGAAGTCCAGTTCGCACTACAAGGCCCGGCCAGGTGATGCCAGGTGTCCACGACGGGAGCACGTACACTGAACATGGACATTAGTGAGCCAGATGCCGTAGGATGCACGCTGTAGGCCAGCTGCTTTGTAGTTGCTCACACGCCACATTAAATAGTCAGACCAAGGCCTTATGGCCCATGCTCAGCACCGCATGGCATTGTTGGCGTTGTTAACTCTGACAGCCTGATGCAGGAAGTCTTGCGGGTGTACTGGGGCTACGCTTTCACCGAAGAGACCGTTCGTGGACCCATTCAGAAGTGCATGCAGAATCTTGTCGTGGCCATGGAGGCCACCCAGACCCAGACAGACACACCCTCCGGGTCCGTGCAGATGCAGCGGCTAGTGGATGCTGTGACTGTGGCACTGCAGTCTTCGAAATCCTGGTGCGAAGCCTCAAGACCGGGAGGCACAATTGCTTTGCAGAAGAAATGCTTCAAAGCTCTCGAGCAGGCCGTGGACTTCGTTGCAAAGGAGGCCGCGACCCCGACCGAGACCGCAGTTTCGGCTGTGCGTGTGTCGGAGTTGTGCCAAAAAGCATTGAATTCTCTTCCTGAGCTTGCAAGCGTGCCCGAATTCCAGACTTGGGAGCAGACGGTTGCCACCTGGGTCGAGACGCTGAAGCCACACGTCAGCGAGGAGGTAGTGAACCAGAAATGCAAGAAGCTCGTGGAGGTCTTGAGACAGGACAAGCGTGAGGATCCTGGCCTTCTGAGCCAATCCGTGTCCGAGGCTTGCGCTTCCTGCCAGGGTGTTCTCTTGAAAGATGAAGATTTCGATGATGGCACCGCTGGTTTGTCAGAGGCGCGGTCATGGACATGTGCTGCCCAGGTCGTTTTGTTGAACCTGGCCCAGGGCCTATGGCCTAGGGCTAGGGCTAGGGCTAGGGC